GCTCCCTGAGCTTGTCAATCTCCGCCTTGTGGTACGCATGGGCCGCACCATCCTGCTCCTCGTACTTGACGGCCTCCTTGAGGGCCCGCTCGTGGTAGTTGATCTTTTCCTGAATCGCCGTCCTCTTTGCGAAGCTGGGGTCTTTCTCGATCTTCTCTTCCGTGTGCTGGTGCTTGTCGCTCTCCGCTTTGAGCCGAGTTGCGGGGCCTCCTTTGCCGACGAGGTTCCGCAACTTTGCGAGCTCGGCCTCCATGAGCTTGAACTTCGAGCACCACGGCGCAGGCTTCTCAACGAGTCCACTGCCTCCAGCTCGCTTCGATGGTGCATCACCTGCACGTGCAGCTGCATCTGCCTTCTTGGCGGCCGTGATGACGCGCTGCGGCGCCTGCTTGCCACAGCTGCACTCGATGCGGCACGCCCAGTTGCCGTCCATGCCACACGCGCAGCTCCAGAACGGCTTCTTCGAACCTCGCAGCACCCTCGGCCTAGGCTGCTGCTCCTGCACCTTGGCCGGCGCTGGCGCCATTGCCCCTGCAGAGGAGCCGTGATGGCCGTCCAGTCGCTGGGCCGCACTGCGCAGCCGCGCCGCCAGGCCAGGGGAGCGGCGCCCCGCCCAGGCGTGGAGGAGGGCGCGGTCCTCCTTGCGTCGGAGTCGCGCTCTATGATGTGCGGCGGTCTCCCTGGGAGCCACCGTCGCGTGAGCGCTAGTCTCAGCGCGCGGCAGGAGCCAGATCCCCCTCGCCTGCAGCCCCGCAGGCGCCCGAAGGGGGGCGGCAGCTCCTCGCGAGCCGAAAACTGGAGCAGGAGGAGGAGGAGGGGGAGGGGGAGGAGGAGGAGGAGGAGGAGGAGGAGGAGGAGGAGGAGGAGGAGGAGGAGGAGGAGGAGGAGGAGGAGGAGGAGGAGGGGGAGAGGAGGAGGAGGAGGAGGAGGAGGAGGAGGAGGAGGAGGAGGAGGAGGGGGAGGGGGAGACGGGGCGGGGGGAGGGGGGGACAAGCTAGGTGCGCAAGCGTCACATCTGACGTCCTACCCCTCCCTCCCGTCCCTTAGCATGGCGTAGAAAAGCACGGCTGCGCATACATAGCATGTCATAGCATGGCGTGGCATTACGTAGTGCAGCATTGCATCACAATGCCTAGCAACGCAAAGATGACATCGCACAGCGGTGCACAACACAGCATCGCATTGCATGTCGTGGCATGGCACCGGATGACTTGGAGCGTAAGTGGCCCGTCTACGAGAGGACAGGGCCTGTCCGGAATGCTGGCTCCATGTCCTCCGCAACCGTGCCTGCCTGATGTGAACGCTTTCGAATGCCAAATGCCGTCCGGAGGCGCTGGAACGAGGCCAGCGCTGCAGCGGGAGACGATTTTGAATGACCGAAGCGCGGAAAGGAGGACGGCGCTGCAGCGGGAGCAATATTATGGAAGAACCAGAAACGACCGGATTGAAAAAGCACGTAGGAAAAAATAAATAATGACATCCAGTGTGTAAAAAACAACATGCGGAAAGGACGGGATTTTCTCCAGACAGAGTCAGGGGAAAAAGGAGAGTGGTACGCGTTTTGTGTAAATTGTTCCGGAGAAAGAAACGGAGATAAGGAGGCGGAGACTGCAGAGGGGGAGGATGTGGAGGAGAAGGAGGAGAAGGAGAAAGGGTAATCTGATTGTTTTTTGTGTTGGTTTTGTCCCCCAGCGGCGCAGCACCGTGTTCTTACTCAGGGGCTTCGCGATCGCCGCCCGCCCTTTTCAGCCCCTGTCGTCGAAGCAGCCCGCATACCAGAGGAAGATGAGGAGGAAAAGGCTGATGAGGATGATGCTGATGATGATGATCATGATGCTGATGATGATGATGATGATGATGATGATGATGATGATGATGATGATGATGATGGTAGTGATGATGAAGGTGATGGTGACGGTGACGGTGATGATGCTAATGATGATGATGATGATGTTGTTGTTGCTGAGTAGGATGATGGTGGTGGTGATGATGGTGGTGGTGATGATGATGTTGATGATGATGATGATGATGATGATGTTGATGATGATGCTGATGATGATGATGAGGATGATGGTGATGCTGACGACGACGATGATGAGGAAGAGGAGGACGAGGATGAGGATGAGGATCAGGATGAGGATAATGTTGATGATGATGATGATGATCATGATGATGACAACGACGATGATGACAAGTATGATGATGATGATGATGATGATGATGATGATGATGATGATGATGATGGTGATGGTGATGGTGATGGTGACGGTGATGGTGATGGTGATGGTGATGGTGATGGTGATGATGATGATGATGATGATGATGATGATGATGATGATGATGATAATGATGATGAATATGAAGATGATGGAGGAGGAGGAGGAGGAGGAGGAGGAGAATGAGGCGCAGGAGGAGGAGGCGCAGGAAGAGGAGGAGGAGGAGGAGGAGGAGGAGGAGGAGGAGGAGGACGGGCAGGGGAGGAGGAGGATGCCAAGAGAGCCGAAGGGGGGCCAAAGTTTGCCAAGGGGCCCCGAGACCGACGGAGAATGCCCCAAGAGCGCCCAATCAGGACGCCAGAGAAGCACAAGTCGGCCCTAGAGGGCACCACGACGGTCCACGAGGGCCCCACTAGCACCTCAGGTTGGAGAGGAAACGGGTCTCGTCGTCGCGACTTTCTCGTGGCCGCACATGGGGTCCCGGATCCCGCTGGCTCTGGCTGTTGCGATTTCCTGGTGGCCGTCTGCAGTCGAGCATCTGATTGGCAAACCTTGCCCTTGCCCTTTCCCCTTGCCGCCGTCTTTGGATTTCTTGCCCTTTCCCGTGGGCTGCCTGTTCTTGCCTTTCTTGCCCTTCGCGCACTTCCCCTTCGGATTGTGTCTCGGCTCCTGTCGTTGCGGCGACAGGGGAGCTGCTCGATCGCTGGCGTCCCTCCGCGAACTGGACTCCCCGCGTGGGCCAGCGGCCAGGATCTCTTGGCCTGCGTGCCAGCGTGCCTGGCAGGCTGGCCCAGTGTCTTGAGCAAGCTCGCCCTTCCAGCGCTGACAACGAACATTGGCTCGGGCTTGTTTTGCGAAGCCTCCGGAGGGCTGGCCCAGTTTCTTGAGCACGTTCGCCCCTCCAGCGTTAACAATCAAAATTGGCCCAGAACTGTTTTGAGACGCTTCCCCTGGGATGCTGGCCCAGAGCTTATCATTTCCTGAATCATATGTTCGGTTGCCGCACGGTTGCGATGTCTTGATCGCCGCTCATGGAGGCAACGGTCGCGTTGGCCCTGGCTGTTGCGATTTCTGGCCGCCCATGAGGCCCCAGGTCCCGCTGGCTCCTGGTGTTGCGATCTCCTGGTGGCTCCTCATGGGCACCCCAGCCCCGCTGGCCCTGGCCCTTGTGATTTCCTGCAGGCGGTTCAGGGGGTCCTGTGTTCCGCTGGCCCTGGCTGTTGCAATGTATCGATAATCGCCCGTCGGGTCCCAGGTCCCGCGCCGTTTGGTCGTTGTGATGTCGTGGCTGCCGCCTCATAGGGTCCTGGGTCGCCAGGACTCTGGTTGTTTTGATTCCCCGGCCGCCGCTCCACATTGGCCCCTTTTGCGAAGACGTTACTGTCCGAGGTCCGCGTCTGGGGCCCGCGTTGGTCGTGATTTGTGGTTTGAGGGATCGTGGATTTGAGGGCGTGGGTCTATAGTTTTTGACGAAGGGTCATGTCCTCTGGAGCGCGGATCCAGAGCTCGAAAACGACGGATCAACGCCTCGGGAGTGCAGATCCAGGGCTTTTTGCCAGGGACCGCCGCCTCGGCAGCGAGGGCCGATGTCTGTGTGGTGGTCTTGTTTCCCCTGGACCCCGCTCCCCTGGGCGACGAGAAGCACCCCGTTGGCCCCGAGTGCGAAGAGACCCAGGCTTTGCTGGGGACGTGCCGAGGGCAGGAAGCGCGAGGGGAGAGGGGGCACCCCGAAGGGTGCAGCGTCGACGCCTGTGGTCGCAGGCGAGAGGAAGTTTTGGGCTGCTCGCGCCGCCTTCGTGGGGCACGGCCTCCGGCAAGCAAACGTTGGGACTGCCCAGCAGCGTGGTGAGTCGTCTAGCAGGTGCAGTATCTGTGTGGCTGCTCGCGTGGATATCCGTGACTCGTGGGCCAAGCCTGGCTTGTGACAGGATCCAGCAGCGTCGTTTTGCGAGTCTCTACCGCTCTCCAGCCGCTGGCGTAATCTACGCCGTGTGGTGGCAAACGACGTGCGCCCGGGGCAGTACAGGCAGTCCAGACAGAGTATACCAGCCACGCACCGAGACCAAATTTGGCCATGCCTTTGCTGGACCAGGAACTTGTGTAGTCACAGTCATGCACTGAGTATCGGCCATTATATGTCCCTTGACCAGTCCTGGCCCAGAAGCCTTCTCCTCATGATCGATTATCATATATGTGTCTTCCTCTTGCATCATCATTTTTCCTTGTGCTCCTCTTATCATCCTTCTCCCCATACTCCTTCCTCATCTTCCCCCTCGCCTGCCCTTCCCTCCCTCTCTCCCTCCTCGCGCTGGCCACATTTGGGGTCGTGTATAGTTGACGTCCCCTTATCCCTGCCGCCTCTTGTGCCCAGTGCCGTCCTGACCTCTGGCTCCGTTTAAGAGACCGTTTGTCGTGAGTTACCGGGGTATTGGCGGCACTTGACGTGATGGACTGGGTTTGAATGCACGCATGGCAGTGTGGCGGTCATGGAGACGACGTCACGTCGGTGACGACGGCAACGGCGACGACGACAGCGATGTCGGGCATAATTATACCGATATGACTGGTCACATTTGCGACGACGGCAAGGACGATGCTTGTCTTGGTGGCAACGGAGACGACGATGGTCGACCATGACAGTGACCATAAAGAAGATGGCGAGGGAGCAGCAATAGGAGTAGGGTTATTAGCAGAAGCGCGACTGGGAGGAGGAGGAGGAGAAGGAGGAGGAGGAGGAGGTGAGTAAAAGAACTGCGTTCCTCTCGTAGCCTCTCGGCGCGGCAGGGTGCCGAGATCATCCGGCTGAGCCAGACCCCTGCGGTGTCGCAGGTGGGGGCACGCTTTTTGTTGCAGGTACTCGAGGCTGGGGTGAACCCGGAGGGCATCGCCCCCTCTTCGATCTTTCGGGTCACTGATGCGTCGAGTGCAGCAGTTCCAAGGCAGCGAGCAGTGCATCAGAAAACGAAGGACATACACGCGCCGAACACAACGCACTTTGGGGTCGAGCGGTTTCGGGGCACACGCGCTACAAGCAACGTCAAAGAATGTGCCCGTGAGGGTTGATGATGAGGAGAAGCACGAAGAGGAAAACAAAGAGAAACAGGATGATAAGAAAGCGGGGAGGACGATGACGAAGAGGAGGAGGAGGAGGAGGAAGAGGAGGAGGAGGAGGAGGAGGAGGAGGAGAGGCGACCGAATTGACGACAACAAGTGTGCTCTGAGGGAATGTAGCTCGTCGGGCGTGAATCAGGTGCGAGGATGTGCGAGCGGAGCGCAGATACGAGCATGCAGCCGGCGTCGGTCTCGGAGGGGCCTCTGCACCCTCGCCTCGGCGCGGCGTTTTTTCCCATCGGCAGGCTTGCGGGACGCCGACCCAGCTTCTGCCCCCTTTCCCACAAGAAACCCAACCCTGAGACCCCAGGACGTCCATTGATGCTTGGTGTGGGAACGTCACGCCTTCCACAGCAAAACCATCGAAACCCAAGAAACCCAGGGCACCGTGGAGGCAAGCCCGCACACGCCCACGGGGCCGAGCGCGCCGGTCTGCTCCAGAGTTTGCTCGAGGGCTCGTCGCGAAGTTGGCCTGGGCTCCTCGGGAGGGTGCGGTCCTGATCGCAGCCCAGAGCGTGCGGGCGGGGTCGCATCGCCCCCTCACTGAGCGCTATCGCCGCATGGCCCAACACATTGGCGTCGCTCGGACGTGTGCATTTTTTCTCGGCGAGGGCCATCGAGGAGCATCTTTGACCATTTCGCGAAAAACACACGCACGAGATCGAAAAATGCACGGGAAATGGACGTCCGAGCGATGGCGCGAACACAGCGTTGCACTCCTTGTTAAAACCGAAAGGTTCAGCCAGACTCATCGGCCCCCGGGTGGATTTGCGGAGTGTGCTCCTAGAGCGCTCGTAGGGCGCCTGGGCCTCTTGGGCACCTCTGGAGCTCCTCTTGGGGGTCCCACGCGAGTCTCTGGGGGGGCATCTTCGGGGCATCTCAGGGACTCCTTCGACCTGTTTGGGAATGTCTCGAGCCACCTGGGAGGCTATCTGAAAATCATGCCACAACCACCGCTTTCCCAATGATCTCGAATCCCCCTCCATGGCGTACTGTCAGAAAGCTGAAAGAAGGACCACCGTAGGCTCAGGGGAGGCTCTGGTTTGTGGGCCGTTCCTTAGATCCAGGTCGGGGAACCTATCCGTGTCCGCGTCCTGCCGTGGCCATGAGGGCCCCTTCGTTCCTTCTCCAGTCTTACTTCTAGCACGGTGGCCGTATGGGTGCGCTCGTGGGGGCCTCTGGGAAGTCTCTTGGGGCCGGCCGGAGACGTCATGGGACACCCTTCAAACAGTGGCGATGCGTCCTGGCGTGCCTATAGGCCTACCAAACAATATTCTAAGAACCTAAGAACACTTTGCGTTTTTCGCGAAATTGTCTCAGAACATTTCTGGCTGGGGCTGTCTTGTTTTCACACATTGGGCTTTTGTTCTGAGCACCTTGCTTTTGTTCTCAGAACATTTTGGGGTTCTGAGAACATGTCGTGGTAAGCCTATAGGAATGCCGGGACGGTCGGTCCCTGCTCAAAGGCCGGAGGAGGAGGAGCAGGAGGAGGAGGAGGAGCAGGAGGAGGAGGAGGAGGAGGCCTATAGGAATGCCCGGCGCCAGGAACGGCGCCGGGGCCACACACGGGAGCCGCCCAGGAGCCCGCCTATAGGCCCCGCTGCTGGGGCCGGGAGGGGCTGGCCGGGAGCGGCGGGGCGACGTCCGGAGCCTGCCCTCTCGCCGAGGAGCGGCTCTCGGGATTCGTCGGCCACGCGGCGAAGTCCGAGCCCTACGCCGAAGAGCCAAAACCGGAGGAGGAGGAGGAGGAGGAGGAGGAGGAGGAGGAGGAGGAGGAGGAGGAGGAGGAGGAGGGTGAGGAGGAGGAGGGGGAGGGGGAGGAGGAGGAGGAGGAGAAGGAGGAGGAGGAGGAGGAGGAGGAGGGGAGGAGGAGGAGGAGGGAGGAGGAGGAGGAGGAGGAGGAGGAGGGAGGAGGAGGAGGAGGAGGAGGAGGAGGGGAGGAGGAGGAGGAGGAGGAGGAGGAGGAGGAGGAGGAGGAGGAGGAGGAGGAGGTTGATAGACCTCCTACCCTGACGCGTCGATTCAGGAATTGGCCGTTTTCGGTTCGCGAGAGGGCGTCGCGGCCGTGATTTTTGCGGGTCCAGGTCCGTCGGTTTCGGTCCCAGGCCGCTTTCACGAAGGGGAGGTCTACGAAAGGGAGGCTTGTCCACCGCAAAAAAAAACATGTGCTGAAACTGTCGAAGGTCCGCGCGGATTTCTTGGATCTGCGCTGGGCCCCCCTGGCGGCGCGTCCGGCGCCGCCCCCTGGCGCGCTCCGCGCGCGGGGGAGGGTGGGGTCCGGCGCAGAGCCAAGAGGTCCGTGCGGGCCTCCGAAAGTTCATGGCGGTGCAGTTTTTGTTGCGTCTCTGCTGTCGGGCCGGACGAGAAGGGGGGGGTTGGGAAAGGGGGGGGTCACGAAATTTGCTGCATGCAGCTGGTTTCGGCCTCGCCGAGGGGCCCATTCCTCGATACATGGCCGCCTCCGGCGCCGGGAGGCGCTGGGGAAATCAGCTACGTGAGCTGATTCTCAAACCCCCCCTTTTGCTATCCCCCCCTTTCGCCCGACCCGATACTACCCCCGCCCCCCATCAATTCACGAGAATCGATGGTTGGTGGGGGTAGGGTTCGGATGTCGCCACCTACTTGAGGGCTCGAGACTGGCAGAGGAATCAGGTGCGCCCACCCGTGTAGGGGGGATGGTATGCGTCGTGTTCAGGGGACAAGGAATCTATGATCCAGGGCTCTGGGCCCCCCCCCGCCTCTCAGGCTGATACTTCCTCACCCACCCCCCCCTGCGCAGTGGGTCCCCCAACCCTTCCTGGTCGTGGCCCTGTGGGCGTGTCGTCGTCGTCGTCGGCTGCGGCGGCGGCGGCGTTGGCGTGGGCGTGGGCGTCGGCGTCGGCGTCGGCGTCGGCGTCCGGGCGGGGAGACCCTGTGAACCTTGGTGCCCGCCCCATCTGGGGGGGTGGCCTGTGAGCCCTCGACCCTGGATCATGCATCCCTTCTCTTGCGCATAGCGAGATCCCTTGACTGGCACCCCCCTCAGCCGCGTCCGTCTCTGGAGGAGACGCGCGGACCCATGTTTCATTGTTCACAACCTGGTGGAATGCGTGAAGGGCCTTGGCCCAGTAAGTTGTGTGTGTGCAGGGTGGAACTCAGTCGATGGCTCCCGCGGTGTGAGTCGAAGGCCCAGCGTGGCCCCTTCTCGGCACACGAAGCTTACGTAAGATACAGTCGGGGCGCTGAAGAAGGAACCCTTTTCATTGGGGAGGGGCTCCGTGTTCCTTAATTGTTTCTCAGCTTGCCTTCGGTTTGCCTTAGGTTTTCGATGGGGAATCGAAGTGCAACTTATGGAAAAAAGGGGCCTCGTTCCTTATTTAGGGTTCCTTAGGTCAAAGCCCCGACTGTAAGATAGGGGGGGCACCGCAGGGGAGCAGCTCCGCCAGGCGGTCTACCTCTTCGAGCTGTGCACGGGCGGCACGCTGCTGACCAAGCTGGAGGCCACCTGCAGAGCAGCGGCCCAGGCGTGCCCTGCCCCGCCTGGCGCGCGCGGGCCCACGGCTGCCGGAGCTGCGGAGGTGCACACCCTGCGCCGGCAGCGGCCCGACGGTCACTGGGCTTCTCTTTGGCAGAGGAGGCGGTGGACCCAGGCCTCCTCGCGTCGGGGGAAAGGCACGACGCGAGGTTTCTCGCGATGTTCGGCCTCCGGGGGCCCTTGCTGGGCCTCGGGAGCGTCAACAAGCGGCTCAGGACGAGAAACCGGTCCCGGAGGTCGACGTCATGAAGGAATCACGGCGTCCGAGGTCTGAGGATGAGGCAGCGGCTGTGGCCCTGAGGATGAGGCGGCAGCAGGACAGACAGCAGGAGGCAGCAGCGGCTGTGGCCGTGGGCGCCAGGCGCAGCAGCCGCTGCAGCGGGCAGCGGGAGCAGCAGCGATCAGCAGCGGGAGGCAGCGCAGCAGCCCGAGCGCGGCTGCCTGCCCCAGGGGACTCGGGCTGCAGCGCGGGCCGCAGGTGGTTGCCCATGCTTGGGCCTCGTCCGTGCGTGCGTGTCGGGGCGGCAGGGGAGCGGGAGGCACGGGTGAAGCGCGATCGAACACCAGAGGGGTCGGATCCTGTGTGCTTCGAGCTGGTGGGGAGAGGGGGCAGCAGTGTGGAGCGAGGCACTCTTGGCGGCCGCGTGCTTGGAGCGCAACGCCATCGCCGAGTCCAGCGGTCACTTGTGAACTGTTGGCCGCTTGGAGTGGTTGCCAGGCTCGTTTGGAGTCGTTGTCCTGTGATGTTCGCCGGTTGACTGGTTGATTATTCGTGCTACATGCGATTGGCCTGTCAATAGGCTGGTCGTTCGTACGACGCTTTCCCATTGTGGTGCAGTTCGGCCTAGGCAGCCCAACCTCGCGCTGGTGGTCGTGTGCATGGTTTGTATATACCTTCCCTTTTCTTCGTCCACCAGGCCATCGATGAATCGCATACGAGGTTTCTTGACGCTATACTTCGAGAGGCTGAGGTTGACGATACTCGAGAGGACATTGAAGTGATACCAGCTCAGAAGAGCGGCCGTGCGGTTCGCGTAGACTGTCAAAGATGCGTCCGCTCGTGCTCGCGCGCGTGGGTATGCGTGGACAGGCGCCTTCAGAGAGTGTCGGCTGAGGTCGTCCGATATGCTCGCAGTCAACCTGGCTTTGACATTGCTCGTTTGCTGGCATGTTACATCACGCTTCGTGGAAGCCGCCGGGGGTCGTTTCCTCCGTCTCCTCCTCCTCTTCCTCCTCCTCTTCCTCCTCCTCTTCCTCCTCCTCCTCTTCCTCCTCCTTCCCCCTCCCCTTCTGCACAGCCTCCAATTCCCATCGCAGGCCGACAAGGGGACGCAGATGCTGTACTGCTGCCCATGTCTCCAGCAGGAGGAGGTCATCGAAGTGCTGTGCTCGACCGCGCAGGCCTTCGTGAGAGGAGGGGGGGGGAGGAGGAGGAGGAGGAGGAGGAGGAGGGAGGAGGAGGAGGAGAGGAGGGAAGGAGGAGGAGGAGGAAAGGGAGGTAGGAGGAGGAGGAGGAGGAGGAGGAGGAGGAGGAGGAGGAGGGAGGCGGAGGGAGGCGGAGGGAGGCGGAGCAGGAGGAGAGGAGGAGGGGAAGTGGGAGTGGGTGGAGGAGGAGCCCGAGTGGGAAGGGAAGGGGGACGAAGCCGACGAGGGCGAAGAAGGGAGTGGAAGGGGGATAGGGGGAGGAGAAAGAGGAGGACGACGACGCGGGCGAAGGGGAGAAGGGGGAAGGGGAGGGGGAATAATAATAATAATAAGAAGAAGAGGCACAGAAGACGCCGTGTGTCCAGAAGGCATGTCAGCAACATGAGATGGAGGAGGAGGGGGATAGCAGGGAGAAGGTGGAAGACGAGTGTGGGGGGGGGAGGGGACCAAGGAGAGGAGGCCGAGACGGACGATTCAGGCGTGCGGCTCAGCTTTAAGGGTGGTTGGTCCACATATTCAGGATGAGCGTGACGATCGCCCTTCCTGCAGTGTTGCCTATGGGCCCTGGCTGAGGGTTGACGCCTAACTGGCGGCCACCACTTGGTCAATACGTTTGCACAGTAGGGCGAAGTCCCACTAATGGTAAACGACTCACGGATCTGGTAAGCGGAAATAATGGAAGGGTTCGTGCGTGTGTTGTTGTGAAGCAAAAGTGGGTGAGAGTGCCCCAGGGGGCCAGGACCTGTCCTCACAGGGGGGCCGCACCGCAGTAGAACCAGAGCGCGCGGGCGGTTCTAATTCGCCGCCTCCTCCTCCTCCCTCCC